ATCTGCTGTCCTGAGCCCTCCATCCCTGAGCACCTCTTCCCTGTCCTGAGCCTCCCATCCTCTGCTCCAAGCCCCTCATCTCCTGCCTCCAGCCTCCCCATCCTCTTCCCTGACACCCCTATCCCCTGCCCTGAGCCCCTCATCCCTTTCCCCAAGTCCCTCTTCCCCGAGCCCCCCATCTCCTTCCTGCAGCCCCCCCATTCCTTGCCCCGAGCCCCCTACCCCGAGCCCCCCATCCCCTTCCCCAAGCCCCCTCCACCATGATTTTGCTGAGCTGCTTCTTGCACCTGCGGCCCCGGCGCTGCGGCCCCTTGGCAGGGCTGGGCAGGGGGCTCGGCCCGCTCGGGGGGTCCTGCAGGGCCCTGCGGGTGCTGGTGGACATGGACGGGGTGCTGGCCGACTTTGAGGGAGGCTTCCTCAAGAAGTTCAGGGCCAGGTACCCCGACAAGCCCTACATTGCCCTGGAGGACCGGAGGGGCTTCTGGGTGTCGGAGCAGTACGGGCGCCTGGGACCTGAGCTGAGTGTGAGTTGTGCATCCCCCGGTCTGCGCGGGCTCTGGTTGGGGCTGGAGCTCGGCCCTGTGGGACCCCCTGAGCCCCAGGTTGTGGGTGCAGTGCTGGGAGGGCTGTGGGTGCTGGCCAGAGTTCCCACCAAAGCACTGGTGCAGGTCTGCACGCAGGAGAGCTTCCAGTGTTGCCTTTTTTCCCCCCCCAGAAATCCAGTATCTCTTTGATAGAATCATGGGATGGTTTGGGTTGGAAGGGACCTTAAAGCTCATCTTGTTCCAACGCTGGGCCATGGGCAGAGATACCTTCCCCTAGACCAGGTTCCTCAAGGTCTAGTGGTCTTTTTCCCTGCATTCGTGGATGGATGGAGATACATGCAAGGAAAGGAGATATTTCAGAACATCTGTTTTAAAATGCCTCAAATTGCATAGCTGGCTTTTTCTAGCTTTGATTTAGACACATGGATTGATACTGTTCCTAGATGGATTATTTAGCTCCTCAAACAGCAATGTGAGGGGTGGGATGCAGAACAAAAGTTGAGAGCAAACCATGCAATTGATGCTTCATGCAAGGGCTTACTTAAAATTAGAACAACCCCAGACCCTCCGATGCCTGAAAATTACTGTGTGCATTTTAATGATCGAAGGCTAAAAGCAGAAGCTCTCTTTATGTTGTACTTTATCAATTAACAATGGGCTGATCATAGCAGAGAGTTGGTTTCTGCCTCTTCAAGTTTCCCATCTCATCCACGGATTGCAGTTGCAGTGGTTGAAAGGTGTTGTGGCAAATAAAAGCGCTCCTGTTTGTAGTGGGATGATGGCTACAAGGAAAGGAGCAGGAATAAGGTCTGGGGCTCTCCCACGGGCAAAGTCCTAAACATCTTGATGAGCTAAAGGAATAACGTGTCCTCTCTGGGTGGGATTGATGAAAGGGAAATGGAGGACGTAATTCATGCGGTAAAGCAGATGTTAAAAGTTTGGCGGGGGTAATGCGTGATAATGAATTTTTCTTCCTTGATCTTAACTACGTTGGATGTGTTAAATGAAGTGAGCTCATCTTGTGTCTGCTGTGATCATGTAAAACCACCAAAACCTTGGGTTGAACAAGCAGCAAAATTTCCACAGATCGACCTCAGAGCAGTCCTGGTTTCACCCATGGTTTCAGAGCAGGGATAAAGAGAGCAGGAGCTGCTTTGTGGATGTGGGCACATGGGCCATTCCAGGCCCCCTCCTCAGAAAGAACCGTTGACCTGCTGTAGGGGACCAGAAAATAGAAGCTGAAGAGTCCAATGAGCTGCAGGTCCCAGCTCCGGAAGAGAGAACAGCTCAGCAAAGCACTGAGCACACAGACCTGGAAGGATGGGAAGCCCTGGACAGGCAGGGAAATTCCTCATGGGGAGACATAAGAAGAAGAAATTTGAGGGTCTGTCCTTCCGGCACTTGGTGGGATTCCCAGCCCAGGGGATTTTTCCATCTGCTGGGCAGCATGGTGGTTGTGGTGCCACAGGGAGTTATTCTGGCTCTGGGAGCTGAGTGGGTCTTTTCCTCAAGATGAGATGAGTTCTTCCCTCCTCAAGCTTGATTGCAAAATGCTTTTTGACATAATTGGAAGCGGGATAACTGCGGAAGTCCTTGCTGAAAGAAAACACTTCAGTGCAGTTTGAAGTGCTCTGCTGCATCAGACCGTGTTTTTCAGGTGTCTCTTGTGCAACTACAGTCAGTATCTTAAAAATAGAACATCACTGCTCATCAGTCTGAAGCAGAGCAACTCTAGTTTGAATATTTGCCTGATCCCATGGCAAACTTTTAGGGCAGCTATCCTTGCCACGAAGCCAGGAGGCGTTTCTGCTGGGTCTCTGCACAAATCAATGTGTTTTACTTTGGACAGGCATGAAGAAGGCTTTTATTCCCTCCTCTGATCCACCGGCATTTTCTTCTGCTTGGGCTAAAGGAAAGAGCCCAACGGTCTCTCCTTTTTAAATTGGGTGCCTGGTCTTCTCATGTTACTTGGGATTTTTTGAGAAATACAGGGTTTGATTCTGGCATGTCATGTTAAAAGCTCAGTGCCCAAAAATGTGATGGGTTGATGCATTTACCTTCCCGAGAGGAGGCGAGGTGTGCAGCCAGTGTCCTGGCACAGGATAGAGCAGGATGGGACCCCTTAAGTGATCCTGTGTTTGCCCTGAGCTTTAGAGTTCCCAGTAAAGCCCCAGTTGCTCACAGTTGCCTGTTTTATTCCCCCAGTACAGGTGTAGTAAAGGCAAAATATGGTGGTTACTCACTAGAGTCCCACCCATCAGGCAGGAGGGAACTGCCAAGTGCCAGATTACCAGAAGGCTGGGATGGGCTTGGAGTTGCCTCTGTCCCTATTCCCCTCCCTCAAATTTAGAAACAGAAGTGTTCAAAAGGAAAATCAATCCTTCAGGGCGGAGCTCCCTTCAAAACTTCTCCCAGCTGCATCTGCAGCTCCTCAGCTGCATCACAGCGCCGGGACAGGGCTGCTTCTGCTTCTTCCCAGCTCTCCTCCCCAAGGACCTGATGTTTGTGCAAAATAATTGCTTTCCTTGGCGCCTGACAAGCTGTTGCCTGTTTGAGGCAGTGCAGGGGATGCTGTTCTTTAGGGCTGTGCTGGATCCGTAGCAGACAGCCCCTGGACTCTGCCTTCATCCCAAGGTTTTGCTCCCTGCGGTCTCATCTCTGTTCTCCCTGTGCTATACCATTGCATCCTGGCTGCTGACCTGGATGTTAAGTGTTTCAAATCCTTGCCTGGAGATGCTCTATTTGCTTGGTAGACCTTGCCCAGGCATCCCTGAGGAAGAGCATCTGCATTCATCCTGACACGTGGTTCATCCTGTAATATACTTGCTCCTGGGAGAGCAGCCCGGCTGCTATTTTAAGTGATCTCATGGAGACAAATAGGCCAGACAGCATCTGTGCCTGAACAGCATCACATTATAGCAAGGGCTACCAGTTGGACCCTCGTGGGTCCATCCCTCTGGACCCACACCCAGGGTTTGGGTCAGATCTGGATAATCTCCTGTGTTTTGCCCCTGAAGGAACGTGCTGCTCCCTCTCTGTCTGGGGCTGCAGAGGCAAAACCAAGTCTGCTGCAGAGCATCTCCAATCTAAATTGTAGGGAATGGGTGCAGATTGGCTGGTGGGGAGCAGAGACACCCACAGAGGCAAGAGGGGTTAGCAGGAGGGGACCGGAGCTGGTGCTCCCACCTTTCTCACCGTCACCCTTCTCTATCCTAGCAAAAGGTGAGGAAGACTTACATGCAAGAAGAGTAGCAAGAGGCCCTGTGCAGTAACTGCTCTCTTTCCTCTCACAGGAGAAAGCCATCAGCATCTGGGAATCCAAGAACTTCTTCATCGAGCTGGACCCGCTCCCTGGGGCTGTGGAAGCTGTGAAGGAAATGGCAAACTTGGCAGAGTGAGTAGGAACCTGCCCATGGTGTGGGGATGGACGGGGGAGCAGCTGTGGCTTTGCAGGCTTATCCACCTCCTGGCAGAAGAGCTGATGCAACACCAGCATTAAAATAAATTACTCCTGGCCACTAGGCATGGGAGGAGAGAGATGGCTTTGACTCCTGGAGCAGTCACCAAGAACATCAGCCCCTTCCCTTCAGCTCTGCTCTTGTGCCGTGGGTGTGGGTGGGATCTTGCGAGATGGGGGATTAAATCACCCTGGTTTGATCTGTGTGTGTGGTGGGGGGTCACCTTTGGGGTCCTGCCTGCTCTGGCACAG